AAAAAAAAAAAAAAAAAAAAAAAAAGACATTACAATTGATGCCACAGTAATACAAAGGATCGTTAGAGACTTATGAACAACTATATGCCAATAAAGGAAAACCTAAAAGTGGAAAAATTCCTGGATAAATAGAGTCTACCAAGATTGAACCATGAAGAAATAGAAAACCTGAATAGACCGAAATGAGTAACAAGATAGACGCAGTAATAAAATGTCTTCCATCAAACAAAAGCCCAGCAGCTGATGGCTTCATTGCTAAATTTTATCAAACATTTAAAAAAATTAATAGCAATTCTACTCAAACTATTCCAAAAAATTGAAGAATATTTCCAAACTTGTTCTGCAAGGCCAGCATTACCCTGATACTAAAACAAGACAAAGACACAATAAAAAATGAAAACTACAGACCAATATCCCTGATTAACATAGATGCAAAAGTCCTCAACAAAATAACAGCAAACCAAATTCAGTAATACATTAAAAAGATCATTCACCATTATCAAGTGGGATTCATCCCAGAGATGCAAGGATGATTCAACATATGTAAACCAATAAACAAAATACATCTTATTAACAGAATCAAGAACAAAAATCATGTAATCATTTCAAAAGATGGTAAAAAAGCATTTGAAAAAATTCAACATACTGTCATGATAAAAACTCTTAATGGGCTGGGTGTGGTGGCTTACAACTGTAATTCCAGCACTTTGGGAGGCTGAGGTGAGCAGATCATTTGAGGTCAGGAGTTTGAAACCAGCCTGTCCAACACAGTGAAACCTCATCTCCACTAAAAATACAAAATTTAGTTGGGCATGGTGATGTGCACCTATAATCCCAGCTGTTTGGGAGGCTGAAGCACTAGAATCACTTGAACCTGGGAGGCAGAGGTTGTAGTAGGCTGAGATCACGCCACTGCACTCCAGCCTGGGCAACAGAATGAAACTGTGTCTTTAAAAAAATAAATAAATAAAACTCTCAAACAACTCAATAAACTGAGTATAGAAGGAACATATCTCAAAATAATAAACGTCATATATGACAAACCCACAGCTAACATCATATGGGGAAAAATTGAAAGCCTTTCTTCTAAGATCTAGAACAAGACAAGGATGCCTACTTTCATCATTTTTGTTCAACATAATATTGGAAGTCCTAGCCAGAGCAATTAGACAAGAGAAAGAAAGAAAGGGAATCCAAATTGAGAAGAAGTCAAACTATCTTTCTTTCTTTGCAAATGACATGATCTTATATTTTGAAAAACGTAAACACTCCACCAAAAAACTGGTAGAACTAATAAATTCAGTAAAGTCACAGGACACAAAATCAACACCCCCAAATCAGGAGTATTTCTATATGCTAACTGTGAACAATCTAAAAAAGTTATAGCAATGCAAGAATAAAATGAATAATAAAGGAGTGATCCCATTTACAATAGCTATAAAAAATATAAAATACCTAGGAATAAATTTAACCGAAGAAGTAAAAGATCTCTATGATGAAAACTGTAAAATATGGCTGAAAAAATTGAAGACACAAAAAATGGATAAATAGCCTATGTTCATGGATTGGAAGAACTAGCATTGTTGACATGTCCACACTACCCAAAGCAATCTACAGACTGAATGCAATTCCTATAAAATATCAATGACATTCTTCACAGAAGCAGAAAAAAAAAATCCTAAATTCTGTATGGTACCACAAAAACACACTAACTAGCCAAACCAATCCTGGACAAAAAGAACAAAGCTGAAGGCATCACACTACCTGACTTCAAAATATACTACAAAGTTATAGTAAACAAAGTAGCAAACACACACAGACCAACGGAACAGAACAGAAAATCTAGAAATAAATCTATGTATATGCAACCAACTAATTTTTGACAAAGACACCAAGAAAATACAATTGAGAAAGCACAGTCTCTTCAATAAATGGTGCTGGGAAAATTGGATATCCATACGCAAAAGAATGAAACTAGACCCTATCTCTTACTATCTAGAAAAGTGCAGTCAAAATGGATTAAAGACTTAAATCTAAGATTTGAAATTATAAAACTAGAAGCAAACACTATGTTAATGCTTTAGGACATTAGTCTGGACCAAGATCTTTTTGGTAATACCTCAAAAGCACAGGCAACAAAGGCAAAAACAGAAAAACGGGATTACATTAAGTTAAAAAGCTTCAGTTCAGCAAAGGAAACAACAAAGTTAAGAGACAACCTACAGAATGGGAGAAATTATTTGCAAACTATGCATCCAACAAGGGATTAGTAACCAGACTATATAAGGAGCTCAAACAACTCAATAGTAAAAAAGCCAAATAATCCAATTTTAAATGGGCAAGAATTCTGAAGAGACATTTATCCCAAAAGATGACATTCAAATGGCCAAAAGGCATATGAAAATATGCTCAACAACACTAATCAATCAGGGAAATGCAAATCAAATCCAAAATAAGGTATCACCTCCCCTCAGTTAAAATGACCACTATCAAAAAGACAGTAACAGATGCTGGTGAAGACATGGAGAAAGGGGAATGCTTGTATACTATTGGTGGAAATGTAAATTATTAAAGTCACCATGAAAAAACAGTATAGAGATTCCCTCAAAAAGCTAGGAAAACTACCATATGATCCAGCAATCTCATTGCTGGGTATGTATCCAAAAAAAAAAGAAAGAAAGAAAAGAAAAGAGGAAAGAAAGGAAATCAGTGTATCAAAGAGATCTCTGCACTCCCATGTTTACTGGAGCAGTATTTACAACAACCAATATATGGAATCAACTCAAGTGCCGATCAACACTTAGGATGAATGGATAAGGAAAATGTGGTATATATACACAATGGAATATTATTCAGCTATAAAAAGAATGAAATCCTGTCATTTGCAGCAACATGAACAAAGCCAGAGAACATTATGTTAAGTGAAATAAGCCAGGCACAGAAAAACAAGTATCACATGTTCTCACTCATGTGGGAATTAAAAAAATTAGTCTCATGGAGGTAGTGAGTAAAATGGTGGTTACCAGAGGCAGGCAAGGGTTGGGGAAAGCAGGAGATGAAGAGAAATTGGTTAATGGGTACAAAAATACAGTTAGATGATATGATAATACAGTAGAGCAGTTATATTTAATAAGAACGTATTATATATTTCAAAATAGCTAGAAGAATGTTCCCAATGCAAGGAAATGATAAATGTTTGAGATGATGGATAACCCACTTACCCTGATTTGATCATTAGACCTTGTATGCATGTATCAAAATATTACATGTACCACATAAATATGTATATTGTGTATCAATTTTTTAAAAATATGGCATTAATACTTTGCTATTTATTTGTGCTGTTCTGCTCTGACTTACAAGTAGTAGGTATTTATCCTACAGAGAACCACTTAGAAAAAGAACAACGTGCAAATGCAGTAACTTGTATAGTAGTAACTTAATGCTTTCTACTCAATTTATTCAATGAACGTTACCACTAAGCAGCTACTCTGCACTACGCACTCTGCTATATACCAGATAAATTATGGTGAGCAAAATGAAAGTTTCCCTCCTTCACAGAGAAAGTCTTGTGATGAAGACAAGACCAAACACAAAGAATATGTAACACTAATGTCATAAATATAAATTATGAACTAATTTGTGCTATGAAAAAAGATGAGGACAGGTAGGTAGACTTACCAGTCTACAAGAATGAGCCAAAATGCTTCAGGAAAGCGGGTTTTGCTATCATAATCTTAAATAATACTCACATCTTGGACTTTCTGGATGAAAGGATCTTTCCATTCAAAGACCACAAAAAACAACTGAGCACTTTTTTCGGCAGCTGGCCTCTGGTCAATGTAGTTAACCACACTTGTCTGGATATGGAGGAGAAAAAGCAGTGTTACCACCTCTGTGCACCCTTCCCTCACCTGTGCCCAGGGAAATGTGAGAGAGTGGGAGGGGATCGTAGACTGTCGTTCTCCTCACACTATCTTTTGGAGAGAAAGTGGCAAAAATCTCACATACACAAGATCCCGAACACTGGTAGCAGAGCCAAGGCTTTACCTTGGTTTACGTGGTTCTCTGGGGAAATGGGATCTGTGATATACAACAGGTGTTTTGGATTGTCACTGAAATTTGTCACTAGGTAGCTATACTCACAATTAAACCATATTCAGGGGGGGCATGGTGGCTCATGCCTATAATCCCAGCACTTTGGGAGGTTGAGGCAGGCAGATCACCTGAGGTCAGGAGTTTGAGACCAGCCTGGCCAACATGGTTAAGCCCTGACTCTACTAAAAATACAAAAATTAGCTGGGCATGGTGGTAGGCACCTGTAATCCCAGCTACTTGGGAGGCTGAGGCAGGAGAACCACTTGAACCTGGGAGGCAGAGGTCACAGTGAGCCAAGATCGCGCCACTGCACTCTAACCTAGGGAAGAGAGCAAGATTCTGTCTCCAAAAAAATAAATAAATAAAAAATAAGCCATATTCAAACTACCATGTAAGTCTCACAATTAAAAGCAATAAAAATTCCAAATTTCAAAATACTTGGTTTTTAAACCAAGTGTTTGTCTGAACTTTCAACCCGTTTCAACCCTTGAATTTTACAGGGACAAAGCACAGCTGCATAGATCCACAGAGCTGAGCATTCCCTGTAAAGACTTAGTAGATGTGCTTGGTGAGATCTGGTTGTCAATTACTAAAGAGGCTGTGTGGTGTAATGGAGAGCAGACAGGTTACAGAGGCAGAAACCAGCTCCACCCAGAGGCTCGGATCCATCATCGGAGCTGAGCCTCAGCTTTGCCACCCGCAAAATGGAACAAAATGCCTATGTCACTACAGTGTGGGGGCATACCTATGTGAGAGCATTCTAAATTCTAAAATGTGATTTAAAAACACATTTTTAGTTTTGTTCAATAGCGCTCATAACACCATCAAGACTTCCAATGTAGACGGTAATAAAAGGCATTAAAATTTCTTAAATGTACAGGTTCACTAGGGTTTTCACCTTTTGGTTTCGGGTCACAGTGGGGGCTACCAGGAGAGCCAGGGTAGATGGGGTTGCACTAAATTGTAAGGTGAATGAACACAGTCTCCTTTCTCAGAGCTGTTCTGGGGCCAGATAAGACCTGAATCAGGTAAGACAGAAAAAGCCAGATAAGACAGATAAGATGAATAAAGACTTGAATCTTGGAGCAAATTTGGAAGTAAAAATCTTGAAGATGACAGTTATCTTACAAAATAGGAATATTTTAAGGTCCAATCACAGAGGGGATTGTCACTTCCCAAAGCAGGAAAAATAGCCTTGCTTCCTTGAAGAAAACTGGCTTTGAGCCTCTTCCAAGTATCCAGCCTGAGGAGCTAGGGCTCATGAAAGAGCCCTGTTTAAGACTAACCCAGCACAGTCCCCTCCTGCCTAACTTCTGGCCAGTGACGGCATAGTTGGCTGGAGTGTGTCCTTCTGCTTGAAATGCACATCATGAGCCATTGGGATGCAGGAGGAAAAGATTAGCTTTTTTTAGTATTTATTTTTATCTCATAACATTTCTATTTTTGAATGTTAAAATGTATAGAACATTAGAATAATAATAGTGTGTTCTAGAGATGTATCCTCATACTAGAGTAACCACATACCAGAGATGCAGTAGACCCTTGAACAACGCAAGTTTGAACTGGGCGGGTCCACTTACACACTGATCACCTGCAAAGTTATATGTATATGGAGTACATGCTCAAAAAGTTTTTACACATGGGAAATCTGATCAAAAAGTTTTTAGCCCACTGGCCTAGAGGCCAGGAGATATGCCTGAATATCTCTTGCTTTGATGCCTGTGAGAGCCGAAGAGGACCTTAGGAAAAGGATCAACATACACACTTGGGACCAATGTGTCTTACTCTCACTTCCCCGCAAATAATCAATCTGCTATGCCACTGCCAGCCTCTCACAGTGCTGCCAGATGCAGGACATCAGACATGGCTGGGCGAGTTACTGACCTCACTGCAAGCCGCAGTGATCTCTGCCCCACACATGCATTCTGTGAAGACTGGCCGGTATGTGTGCTGCCTGCAGAACAGACTCCCTGGCATGGCATAAGAAGCCCTCCATGGGGGTCCCTTCTCATCCCAGCCAATGCCCAATCACCCTCAAGGCCCTGCTCAAAGGACCCTTCTCTGCAAAGCTTCCCTCCACTTCAGACTCGAATGTGGAAAAGTCACCAGCAGTTTTGAGCAAACCCAGAGCCACCTACCTCCTGCCGGAACTCCACTGCTTCCCGCCCATCCTCCTCCTTGGTCTTCACCAGTGACATCTTGACCCAGGTGCGGAAGCCCCCAGAGAACTTCCAGCTGGAATAGGCACTCTCACAGGCCTGCATGAAGCCTACCCTATTTGGGCTTGGAGGGAGGAAAGAAGAAGGAAGATCCAGGTCAATCCAGCTTTGGCAGCAGGCAGCAGGGCAGTGCATGCTGGTTTCTTTGCTAGGACAACCAGGATGCTGCCCACTCCCTGCCTCCTCTCCAAATTGGGTTTGCCTCAATAGGGCTGTTTGTCAGTCACCAACAAAAGCCAGGCCCATTCCTGTTTTCTCTCCATTTGGTTTCCAAATGGAGGGGGAGTTGTCACTGGCCTCAAGGCAGGAGCATGATCCCTGAAGCTCCCAATGGGAGAAATCCTCCTCCCTCTTCCCATCATTCCTATCAACTGCTACCAAAGCTGTTGGCAATGAATTTTGCAGAAGCTTCCCAGAACATGGTGCTCACGGCTCCTCAGAGAACTCTGGACTTGAGCAGAGCCTTGGGAAGCCCTCACTGGCCCATCAGTTCCCTCTGGAAGGCCCAAAGAGGGGAAGAGGGTTCCTTGGGGAGCACTCAGCCAGGTGGGACACCTATAACATCAGCCCCAAGACAGTGCAGATGCAGCAAAGTCAAAGCAAACATAAAAACAAGTAAAAACTGCAGCAGCGTACTGAGGAAGCTCATGAAAGGAGCATGGAGTAGGGTCTGGATCCCAGGGAAAGTCTTCCAGGAGGAAGGCAAGACAAGGGAGAGGGAATTATAGGCGGTAGAAAGGGTGGAAGATGCTAAGGCAGAGGCTCCAAGCTCTGGGGTGGAAGAACAAAGAAGTGGTGGTGTAGAATGGAGAAAGCTTGCTGCATGTGCAGCTGGGGAACAGCCTCCCTGCCCCCATAGCTGCCTCCCTGCTTGCTCTGAATGGAGCCTCTGGGCTCAGCAGGACCTGGTAGGAACTAAGTCCCCCTCAGCTCAGGCATGTGAAGAACATGCTCCTGCCCTCTAGGCTCCACGGTGTGACCCCAAAGCAGTGTGTGTGGAGCAGACAGGAACTTCCTGATAGTCAGTGGACATTCATCACTGTAAATTAAAGACTAAGAGAGGTGGTAGAGCTTACATCCTCATACTAAAGATGCAGTAAACCCTTGAACAACACAGGTTTGAACTGGGCGGGTCCACTTACAGATTTTCTTCTGCCTCTGCCACTCCTGAGGCAGCAAGACCAACACCCTCCTCCTCAGCCTACTCAACATGAAGGCGATGAGGATGAAGCCTTTACAATGATCACTTCCACTTACTGAATAGTAAGTATACTTTCTCTTCCTTATGATTTTCTTAATAACATTTTCTTTTCTCTAGTTTATCACAAGAATACAGTTTACCAACACACAAAATATGTGTTCTTTATGTTATTGGCAAGGCTTCTGTCAATAGCAGGCTGTTAGTAGTTAAGTTTTGGGGGAATCAAAAGTTATACACAAATTTTTGACTGGACAGGCAAGAGTGGTTAAGTTTGGTAACTCCAAACGCCAAGTTGTTCAAGGGCCAACTGTACTTTTTCAAGCAAACACACACTGAGCCCTCACTAAGGGCAAGACATGGTTCTTGTGCACGCTGCGGAGAAACCAAGGAACCAGACAAGAGCTTGCCCTCATGCGGGCTTACAAATCAAAGGCAGCTTAGCTTCCCTTACTCTTCAGCAGCCCCAGGCAATGGGCCAGACCACAAGATCTCTCCAGAACCAGCCAGCACTAAGTGCATGGAGAGCAAGCGTGCTCCTCCACTTGTTTAACTTTGTGGTAAGATGTTGAGTGGACTGGTCGAGCTCATGAGGTCCCTTCCTGGGCCAGTGTGTCATCTGGGAATTCCCCTTCCCTTCCCTTCCCCCTCTGTCTCTAGCCTAGAGATGTGCAAGGCTGAAATGAGATAAAAAGTAGACAATAAGCCTACTGTGAACTCTAAAAGGCCACCTTTGCAGGAACTCCTGGAAAGAAGAGAAGAGGAGGTAGTCAATGGCGCTGAAGTCCTCACTACTCTTGTTCAGGCGGAACTGGAGGAAGACCAGCTCCCGCTTTTTCACTTCCCGGGGCCCCTGGACAATCAGGGCAGATTTCTGCAGAGAAACAAAGGACAGAATCTCAGTCTTGTGAGAACACACAGAGTCCTCTACGTCTGAGGGCAGAAGCACTGACTGGAAAGCCCATAGCTCCTCGCCCAGTGGTCTCCAAAGGGACTACCAGCCAGACTTTCGTGTTCGGGTGACAGCGGGCGCAGGCTGGGATGCATGCTCATTCCTGGGGAGTCTTCCCTGCACCAGAGCTGAATGCAGCTCATCCTCTGTCCACTTCTTTCATTGGTTGAGTTATGGAAGCTCTTAATTTAGCAAGCATGTTCACTTTCATTTGTTCTGTGTGCAAATCTTCCAGTCTGTCATTTTTCTTTTGTTTCCAATGTCATTTGTCATATGGAAACTTTAATGTGGTGAAACCTATAAATCCTTTTCTTTATGGCTTTGGGTTTTGCTTGCTGAGGAAAGCCAAAATTCTATCAATATTCTTCTCTATTTCTTTACAGCACTTTTTAACCTTTTCTAGATACTACCTGGCTTTAAGCTCTGAATACGGTATGAAATAGGGATCTAACTGCTACTTCCCAAACAATGGATAAAGGTTTTAAAGCCTCTTCCCCTCCCCTCCTTTATCCTATACTAAATTCAATACAGAACCAATATCTGTGTCTGCTCCTGGCCCTAGCAGAGCCCGCACATTTGTCTGTCTCCGTCCAGTACTGTACCAGTTTGATTCCTGTGGTTTTCCACTGTTCTGAGATCTGGGCAGGTGCCCTCCCTACACTCTTCTCCATCCCCAAACTTGTCTTGGTTATTTTTGAACATGTGTTCTTCTAAGAATGCTTTAAAACTAGCCTGCTTAGTTCCATAAAAAAAATTCACTGAGACTTTTAACTGTGATGGAAACTGAATTTATATATTAATTTTAGAAAAAATCTTTTATATTAACTTTTATAAATGCTCTACAAATATTTCAAAGAGTGAATACATTGTCAAAGTTTTGTGCCCCCACATGTATACCCACACATACCATACATACTCTAAATTTATTAACTGTACTATTCAATTCTTATCCTTTCTAGTTTTTGTCTATTTGATCTGTGACTTTCTGAGAGGGGTGTTTAAATCATGCTCTAAAATGATGGTATTTTTTACTTCTAATGGGTTTTGCTTAAAATATATAAATGACATGCCGTTTTGTACATAAGGTTTTGGAACTGTTCAGTCATCTTAATGGAGATTACGGAGTTGAACCTCTTATCAATGTTAAACATCCTTCTTTCAACCTTTGCACATGGAATTCCACACTGACTATTAATATTGTCATTTCTGGTTTTCGTTGTATTTTCCCAAGACAGCTTTGTCCATCTATTTATTTTTCAATCTTTCTGTGCCATTTTAAGTCTGCAGCAAAGAGCACTGTCCCTGGTTTCCATGATCCATTTATTCCTTTAGTACTAGAGCGGCTTTCCTAACTCAGATTTCAGCAGAATCCACTTGCCCTGCTGGAGCCTCATTTCTGGCCTCAAATGTGGCCATGTGATGAAGTTCCTAATGTGTGAAAGAAAAGGAGACTCATTCAACTCCACACCATTTCTCGAAAAGGGAACTGCTAGCTGGGTGCAGTAGCATGTGCCTGTAGTCCCAGCTACTCGGGAGGCTGAGGCTGGAGGATCGCTTGAGTCCAGGAGTTCTGGGATGTAGTGCACTATGCTGATCAGGTGTCCGCACTAAGTTTGGCATCAATATGGAGACCTTCCAGGAGCAGGGGACCACCAGGTTGCCTAAGGAGGGGTGAACCAGCCCAGGCTGGAAATGGAGCAGGTCAAAACTTCTGTGCTGAACAGTAGTAGGATTGTGCCTGTGAATAGCCACTGCACTCCAGACTGGGCAACATAGCAAGACCCCATCTCTATTATAAAAAAAAAAGAACCCATCATTTATATTGTATATATTTGCTTCTCTGATCAAACTCTAACCACTACAACCACACAAAGAGGAAAGACTCTACATTTTTTCCTCATAAAAAAAAAAAATTAAAAAAAAAAAAAAAAGGGAACTGCTTGCCCTCCACTTACCTTCCCAGGCATGGGCACGTGCACATCCGCACACACCCACACACAAACACAGCCCACACGGACCAGAACAATGCCCAGGACACAGCACAGTGACAAGACAAAAGTCATGGCTGGATCATCCTTTGAGGCAGCACTACCCACTATGTCACAGAGCCTGCACGCCAGGACTGTTCTCAGTCCTTCTCCCTCATCTCAGCCTCTGTATTTGTGGGTTTTGTTTTTATTGGTAGCTTAGCCTATACTCTGACTAATACACAATTTGTTAGCTGACACTGGAATGTTTTATGGTTGCAAAAAAACCTAAAAATGAGGCATCAGCCAAACATTTGGGTAGTAGGAAAATGGCGGGCAGTAAGGAAACAGATAAGGATCCTGCAGGCTGGAAAGGTGGTGCACATTATTGTGCCGGACCAGAGCATTTGGTAAAAATTAACTACCATTAAATTGAGAGCATGAAAGAAAGTACCAGAAAATCAGCAAAATTCTTAAGATTTTACAAATATAACAGGATAAGACCCTCGACTGGGGTCACTTTTATATGGACTTGCTTGGACGCAAACAGCCAGAAGCCTACACATTTCTGAAATCTCACTGCAAACAAAGGTAGTAGGAGGAGGAGGCAAGTAAGAAGCCACCCTCCAAGTTTGCGATTGTTTAGCCCTAAAGCCGCTTCTAAAACCACACAAGCAGGAAGTGAGTGGCACAAGCTGTGCAGCCCCCAGGGAGGGCGTATTTTCTAATGACCACTTCAGATATCGCCAAAGAACACTACCACCAAGGCAGAACCTTCCAGCAGACAAGGCCGGAGCACATAGGAGTCTCTTTCTGAGGGTAGCAACAGGTTCAAACCAAGGAGCTTACTTCATGCCAAGGCGGCGTCTCACTAGTCCCAACCCGCAGGGTTCCACCACTGCTGCCGGGCAGAGCTGCGAGCCCTTATCCTTCTTCCTTTTCCAAATGGGAGCTCTACTGCTCTCATCTTATTCTTCCTCCACTGCTATATGCTGGTTTGGGTAGGAAACGTGAGGGATAGGGAGGAGATAACTTCTCTGTTAATTTATAGCTTGTGGAATTCAAGGAAGTGATGGAGGAGATGAACCATTACTCAGAGCTGGGGGCAGTAGCTGCATTCAACTTCATTTCCATAAAAACAACTCTCTTTCTGTGCCCTTATTTCAAGGGTTTTTACAAAATGTATTCGAATTATGTGACTATTGTAACAAGTGCAACTAGCCTACACAGGTTTGGAAATGACCCACACTGACTCCTCCTAAGCATATACCCTTCAACTGGGGGAAAGGACGGCATACAGAGAATAGGCACTTGGTGGGACAGAAGCAGCCTCAAGTGTTCATTAGTGTGTTTTACAGAGGGAAGAGAGTTGCAAATCCAGACAGAGAGCTTCCATTATGCATATAACTTCACAGTAGAACTGTTTAAAAGTTGTTTTCCTTTTTGTTTTAATTAGCTTTCATTTCCCTATTCTAGAGTCCATTCTGTTTGTTCATCTTGGTCCTTTTATGTCACTGGTTTCATGCAAATATCTGGAGACCATTAATTCTCCATTCTTATTTATGAATGAAGGATTAGGTTGACTAGTATAGGTCTGGGGTTTTGGTTTCTTCCAAAGTAGTAAATTTCAGTTTCTCTAATAGGCCTCTCCCTTGCATGGGAAAGCTAAGTATGCTCTGTGGAAGCACATTAATTATTCCAGTGTGTTTCACTCTGAGGGGAGTCCTTTCCTTTAGTTCTCTCTCCTTTTCAATTCTAAGTCTGCTGTTTCCTATGCCTAAGCAGAGAACCTTCCCTTAGCTTTTGTAGAGAATGGTTCCAGGGTCTTTTACCCAGAAGCAACCATCCCCAGCGGCTCTGCATATCTGGTTAGGGTATAAGGTGCATCTGGCCCAGCCAACAGGCAGTCCAGTAATGACTACCCTGCTTTCTGAAGGTGCTGATTCCAAGCTGGGGGTTTGGAAGGAAAGACTGTACATCTACAGCAGGTCTCTCCTGCATCTGTTTTGGGTTAGTGGTTTTCTCTAATTTATTTGTTCCACCAATCTGGCCCAAGTTGTTTTATATACTTTATACCAGCTCATCAAAATGTCTGGTCCACTGGTGATTTCCTTTCTTCGTGTGCAAAGCTATTACTGATGTTCTAGTCTGTTCTATCCCATTCCTTGCAGGAATCATTTCAGCAGGATTTTAGGAGGGAGCCTAGCATACACATATTAACAAAAAAAAATTAGTGTGATTTTATCTTAAAACCCACTAACAGTTCCCTGTTACCCAAGGGAGCAAGTGTGGTTCTACGGCATGATGCACGTGCTTTTCTCATCTGGCCATTATTCAGTCTACAGCTTCATCTCCCATCAGTCTTCCAGGGCTCCTGACCCTACGAAACATCTCCCCACCAACTGCAATTGTGCCCAGGAGCACAAGTACAGTATGTCCTCTCTTCCCTTTAGGTCACGGTGGCACTTTCTCTGCCTAGAAAACCTTTCCTTCGCCATTTGATCTGGTAAACTTTATTGTAGCCCCTTTCAATCCTTTCTGAAGCAAGGATACGAAATGAAAAAGATGAGACATAAATCGACGCAAAACTCCTACCCCGCCTTCGAAACCCTGTGCAGTGCCACTCCCCCAGGCGCTCTGAACTCCATCCCACAGTCATCGTTCCCATCTGTACTGTGCTGTGCGTGACAGTACGGCCAGGCCAGAGCCCAGGAGTCCTTGTCCCCAGACCGGCGCTCCTTTACACTGGCATATTTATTTCAAATTATGGATTCCTAGGCCCCCATCTCAGAAATTTTGATTCAGCTGGCTTCACACGGAACCTGGGAATTCATATTTTCAAAAAGTATCCTGGCAATTCTGTCAAGCAGACAGGTATGGGACCCACTTCGCTACATCAACCAGCCCCACCCTGTCATTCTTCCATGAGGGACAGGGTCTCACCACACTGTCAGAAATCCCTGAGCATTACTCAGCAAAGGCTGGAGGCCTCACTGTCCTCCCTGAATGCAGGCGAGCCAATCACAGCTAAGCGTCCACCTGGCACAGCCACATGTCTGCTTGGGCACCAAGGCCCCACATTGAGTGAGTGGAAGAAAGACACCTGGGAAGAAGGAAACTTGGGCCCTTGGAGTGCAGGGCTAACGGAGCAGCTGCTCAGACCCAGCTCAGGCAGACGGGAATTACCACAGTCTGATTGGAGAAGGGGTCCGTGTAGTTGATCCTCTGGGTGGTGCAATTCATGTCACCCGGCTGGCCAGGGCTTGTGAGAGGAGGAATGACCTCGTAATGGTGCTTGCAGCTGAGCAACTGGGCTTGACCGGGGTACAGGGCAATACCTGGGGGCATAAACAGGAAAAGCGAGTGTCAGAAATCACAGTCCTGACCACATCCCTGAAATCATCTCATACCCACCAACAACCAATGTTCTGGACTCCCTGGATGACTGCAGGGAAGGGAGAAAAAAAGGGTTTCAGAGGGTGGGCAGCCACATCCCCTGGCCTCAGAAGCCCCACTCTAGCAGAGGGCACAAGCCCCTCCTCAGTAAGCCCCTGGCCATCCCGGGATACAGCCACCCTATGCCCACATCAAAACCTGCTCTACTCAGAGCCCTGCTCCACACCCTCCGAGGGAGTGTCCCTTGACTGAGCCCTGCTGTACCATCCCTCCGGGCCAAGTCCCACCTGCAGAATCGGTGGGAGGCTCTAAGCTGTGGAATTCCTCAGAACTCATTTTGTCTCTTAGACTGGGAGCCCCCAGTGTGCAAGTCACATCCCAAGAGTCCTCACTCTTCTCAGCCCAGGCACCTCTACTGACAGCAGCTGTCCAACCTCAAGGGCAGCAATGCTAAGACAGTAGCACATGGCATCAGAGACAGACTTCAGAGACTAAGAGACCAGACAGAGAAAGTAAAACCCACAGATACAGAGACTGAAGCAGACACACAGAGAAGAGGGACAAACACAAGACAGGAAGGGACAGGCAGAGGAGCCATGACCAGCACACCTGGCTGTTGGAGGCTGGCAGGAAGCCCCAGAGAGAGGGCACCTGGACTCTGGCTCTGCCATGTGAGCAGATCCTCCCGCGGGTCACGCAGGGGCATCTGTGGACAGAGCAGGTGGCACACACTGGGTGGCCAGGGCCCAAGTCACACAGCTCATGCTTCCCCATTTACTCTACAGCCCCCAGAACATCCAGTGCCAGCCCTGTAGCCTGGAGCAGATGGCCTGCTCTGTAGCAGAGCGGACTCCCCCACTCAAGGACCAAACACCCCAGTGGGGCAAGAAAGGTATACATGGTGTGGCCTGGGAGTCCCTCTTCAGGCAGGGTTCCTGCCTACCTTGAATGGCCTCACCTCCCCTGCCACCTCCCCACCCTACAGTCCAGCCTTGACTCCTGCTTCTCCTTATCCCTGTCCTCTGGCCCCAGACAAGTTAGTCTCATTCTCTCCAAGGAAGCCCTCTGCCTTCCTAGACACCCTTAGCTCTGCTGATCCTCATCCCAAAGACAGTCTCTGCCTAGCTATGTGCTTTTCAAAGCCCAGCTCAAACCTTACCTCTCTGCCAAGCTTTCCCTGACCCCTCCAGTAGCCTGCAGTAGCTGCTCCAGGCTCTGTCCATTTCTCTCCTCAGCACATAATATGTTCCCAGTGGCAGCTCTTTGGGAGTGAACTCTATACCTAGACTATGCTTGGGCTCCTCTGCCCTGCCCATAGTGCCACAAATACAATGGCAGCTCAGGGAGTATCTGCCAGCTGACACCCAGATGTGGCCCTGAAGCCTGGTCCAGGGGCAGGCTCTACCTGGGGCATCATAGCGATCCACCTCCTTGTAAGACACAGACATGACAGGGTGCTTGAGTTTCTCACGGAAGTCTGTGATGGTCTGGTAGACCAGGAAGACAGCCACAGCCATGAGCAGCAGGTAGATGAAGATGAGCAGGACCGAGAAGACGTTCTTCAGGCAGGCCTTGCTGAAGCGGATGCTGCTGGAGGCAGACTCGCTGTCCAGGCCTGACAACAACAAAATACCATGTGACTCAGGACACAGGGACAAGGTACAGCCAGAGATGGCCAGCAACCTCCAGACCCTTGCCTACCTCACCAAGGAGGTGAGGTCATCTGGATGCCCAACCTTGCCACCTTACCCCACAAATCATAACAAAGGGTATGTAAACATGTACTACACAGCATCTCTGCCAGGCAGAGGACACCAAGCTGAAGGAGACTTATTCACTGTCTTTAAGGAGTTTACTCTCAAAAGATAAAAGATAAAAAATAATAAAAATTTTAAAAGAAAAAAAAAAAAAAAAAAAAAAAAAAATAAAAAAAAAAAAAAAAAAAAAAGAAAAAAAAAAAAAAAAGAACAGAAAAAGGAGTTGCCTAAGAGGAGTAGAAGTTACAATCCAACAAGTGAGCTGTCCTCAAGCTACCTCTCTGGCCTTACCCCTCACCACTCCACTTCCTCAATTCTCCCAGCTCTAGCTCTACGCATTGACTTTCTGTTCTTCTGGCGTGCCCTTCTCAACCCAGAAGCCTCTCATATTTACCATTCCCTCTGCTTGATTTTTTCTTTCACAGCTGACACCTCACTCATCCTAAGCCCCGAAAGGTATCTACTTGGCATCTGGCTTCCAACAGTGACAGAGTAGCTTCGTCACACCATCCTTCCATGGAAGCATTTTAATTTAGAATGACATTTTCTCGGCCAGGCACAGTGGCTCATGCCTGTAATCCCAGCACTTTGAGAAGCCGAGGCAGGCAGATCAGCAAGGTCAGGCATTCAAGACTAGCCTGACCAACATGGAGAAACCATGTCTCTAATAAAATTACAAAATTAGCCAGGCGTGGTGGCACATGCCTGTGATTCCAGCTACTCAAGAGGCTGAGGCAGGAGAATCACTTGAACCCAGGAGGTGGAGGTTGCGGTGAGCCGAGATCACGCCATTATACCACAACCTGGGCAACAAGAGTCAAACTGTCTCAAAAAAAAAAAAAAAAAAAAAAAAAAGGCATTTTCTTGAGGAAGCGTTTCCTGACCCCTAACCTTTATTTAGGGACCTCTTCCTCAGTGTTCCCAGAGAGCCCTATATGTCCCCCACTTCATCACTCTGCAATGTCATGTCTATACATCTTTTACTCCCCTAAGCCATGAATTCCATGAGGGCAGGGATGGGGCCAGTCTTATCCATAACTGAATCTTTAGCCCTTCATGCTGTGCCTGGAACATTCTGCATTTACATAGTGACTGATTAAACATGTCCTGATGCCATTGGTACAACACAACTCTGTCTCCCCTACCTCCCTCATAAAATCCTGAGGCTAGAAGCTAGATTAATCTCATTATGCATGGAACTGTATCCCCTATGCCCAAATTCATGTTGAAGCCCTAACATTCAATGTGACTATATTTAGAGACAGGGCCTTTAAGGATATAATGTGGTTACAGGTGGCCATAGGATGGGGCCCTAATCCAACAGGACCAGAATCCTTATAAAAGGAGGAAGAGACACTAGCAAAACATGCATACAGGAGAAAAGAAAAGACACAATTAGAAGGCAGCTGTCTGTAAGCCAAGGAGAGAGGCCTCACCAGAAACCAATGCTGCTGGCACCTTGATGTTAGACTTCTCCCTTCCAGAACTGTGAGAAATAAATGTCTGTTGTTTATGCCACTCAGCCTGTGGCATTTTGTTAATGGCAGTCCAAGCTGACTAAGACACTCCCACAGGGCTTCCTGTGCCCTCTCTACTCCTCAGATGAAGATGGGGCTCCCTGAGAAGAAGCCCTATGTCCTCCACAGCCCAGCTGAGCACAAGGCTGAGAACAAGGGAAGCATCTGAACGTAAGCCCCAAAAAGCATCTGGCTTCCAACAGTGACAGAGTAGCATGGTCACACCACCCTTCCTCAGAAAACAATTATAAACTTCGGACAACATATTTTAAATTATTTGAAGGCACTGGAGAAATGATCAAAAGCAGGGAGAAATTGAAAGAGAGTCTACCCTTGAAAGAGAAGAACTGTACTTGGTGAGATTTATAAATCTGTAGCTTTTTGTCTAAGAATACATGCCAATCCCTGTAAGGCATGGTTTAGAATGACAGGACCAAGTTCAGGACTGGAAGGACAGCCAGAAAGTTAAGAAGAAACCGTGAAAGGGAGGGAGCCACATAGTGATGAATCTCCTAAGTCTGCAACTAAATATATATTCAGATGCTTGGCTGGAGAACTCACAGGGGCCAGTAAAAAAGTAGCAATTGGAAACTGAAAGAACTGCATGGAGATTTTAACTACGGCTAATGCAGTGGAGAGAGGAGTTCAGAGCTTAAATCTTACCGTATTAAGTATATGCCGAAAAGAAAATCCTTCTGAAGATCGTAACAGAACCCAGAATCTCTACATCATTCATTATGTCCAGTGTTCCATCAAAAATCATGAGACATGCTAAGAAACAAGAAAATGTGACCTGTACTTAAGAAAAAAGCAATCTAAAACCAACACCAAGATGACCCAGTGTCACAAATTTAGAAGAGGTACTTCACAGCACTTAAAGGAAAATACCTGGATAAGGAATAAAGACAAGATCAATAGAGAAACAGAAACCAATACCAAGAGCCAAATACATAGAATTTCAGTTTTGCAGGATGAAAAAGCATTCTGGAGATGGATGGTTGCACAGCAATGTCAATGCACTTAATATCACTGAACTATACTTAATGGTTAAGATGATGAGTTTTACATTATGTGTATCTAACCACTGTAACAATGTTTCATTAAATTAAAAAAAAAACGATGGAAACTCTAGATCTGACAAGAAATAAATGAAATAAAAAGTTCACTCTATAGGCTTGATAGAAAAAGATGGCAGAAAAAGTGCCAGTGGGCTTTAAGTTAAAGAAACAGCAATTATCCAATCTGAAGAAAATATTAAAGGAAAAAAAAAAACCCTAATGGAGCCCAGATAATTGTTACAGTATCTAGCAGTGTAATGGCATGTAACTGGAGACAGAAAATGTCTCACAGAAAGTATCTGAAAAAAACAATGGCTCAAAACTGGAGAAAGACATTAACTTACAGATCCAACAAGCTCAATAAATGCCAACCAGAATACATATAAAAAGACCATCCTGAGGCAAATCATAGTCAAACTGCTAATTAAAGAAAAGAAAAATCTTGAAGGTGGTGAGGAAAAATTTTTTTTTAAATGTATGTATATATGTGTGTATGTGTACATATACATATATCACATATAGTGCACTGATACTAATGACAACTAATTTTTGGACAGAAACAATGGAGACCAAAAGACAATGGAACATCTTCAAATGCTGAAAGAAAGAAAAAAATTTTGTCTACCAGGATAATTCTCTATCCAGCAAAACTTTAAAAATGAAGATGAAATATTTTCAAACACAATGGCTGAGAGAATTCATCACTAGCAGACCTGCATTACAATGCATGCTAACAAAAGTTCTGAAAGCTAAAAGGAATTGACACTAGCTGGTAACTCTCAGATGTAAAGAGCATTGAAAATGTTAAGTGAGTAAAACAAAAAAACCACTTAAAAAATTTATGACTGCCTACAGCAGAAATTACTCAACAGTAAAGTTTACAACTTGCAAAAAAGAAAAAACAGAGAACAAACAAACAAAAAACCCCAGAAAGACAAAAACAGCAAAATGGTAGAGCCAAATCCAGCCATATCAATAATTACATCAAATGTAAATGGACTAAACAGTTCAATTAAAAAGCAGAGACTGTCAGCCTGGTTTAAAAACCAAAACTAACCATATGCTTTGATAGGAAATGGATTTTAAATACAAAGACACAAAAGAAAATCTGCTCATAATTATTTCATTTCACTTCATTTAAAAGCACAAAAGCAGAATCAGCACAAAACTATCAGTCTCCTGGGTTGGTAAAGACAAGGAAATAATTCATTCTTTACTTCTACAAGATCAAGCACCACCTCTACATGCAAGATTTTGTATTAGGTGCTGCAGGGAGATATCGAGAAAGGAGGACTGATGGACTGTAATCCAAAGTACTACAGAATTTGGAAAGATGTGAGGATATAAAACATAAGGTTTTCTTCAACTGGAGGAAAAATGGGAAGCACAGGGAGAGTGGCAGTTATCAGCAAAGACTCTGTAGAGGGGGTCATGTTAGTTCTGCACCTAAACTACAAGGAGCATCTTAAGAAAGAAATAATTTGGTTTTCATTATTCATTTATTTTCTGAACTGAAAGAGTGGATATACTACACAGTGGTTAAGACTTAGCATGAGCTTTAGAGTCAGAGTTGTGAGCTCCAGCTGCAGCTTTGCTACTAACTACTCCATGGTCCTAGACAAGTTACTCAATGCACCTAAAACCTTACATTTTTCATGTAAAATTGAAATAATCCCATTTTACAGGACTTTTGAGAGAAGTAAATGAGAGAATGCTGCAAAATGCATTACATAGTGCCTGCTCAATGGTTACAATTACTGGTACCAAAGAAACAAAGTAACTTCTACCCTTCAAAAAATGAAGTGTTTAATTATGAAAATAGAAAAAATAAAGATCACAGAACTATAATCTCTTTTGAAAAATAAAACTGAAAAAATATATGCTGAAAATAAAATGGAGGGAGGGCAGAATATACTGTCTTTCATATAGCAGGTATGTAATGTTTCCATGTTTGTCAAATGAATAAATAACCCAAATAATAGGTGAACTAAGTCTTGCCACGCTAACTCAATCTGTCAGAGAATACTAGTGCAATCAGGCATGCACAGCTATAAACCAAGTAATGTTCTTGCTGTTTTATTGGCAAAATACTTTAGAAAGTTTTTACTTTACACAGGAGTGCCAATTTCCAGAACTGTCAGTGAGGCTCCTTTAAGTTGTAAGAAACAGGTTACCGTGGGCAGTCAAGGTTTATTCTATAGGTATAAGAAGTGAGAACCAGGGAAACCCAATGGGTAGCTGAGAGCTATGCTACCAAGGTCCAAAGCAGCTCTAGGTGTCCAA